ACATGTACACAATTGTGCAAATGTGCTCCATTGTGTGACTGTACTGAATTTTTTTTAACTGTTAAGAAAATTATGAAAATTTCAGGTAAATGGATGGAGGTAGAAATAGTCATTTTGAATGTGGTAACCCACATCAAGAAAGACATCACATATTCTCACTCCAAGATGGATGCTAGCTTTGAGTCTTTAGCTATGTATGTGTTTAAATTGGAGTGCCCATAGATCCACCTGCCTCTGCCTCCTGAGTGCTGGGCCTAAAGGTGTGCACCACTATACCTGACCTGGTATTTCCCCCTCTTGACTATTCATTAGCTATAACCTCCAGTGCAGTGTTGAAAAGAATTGATGAGAGAACATGCACTTGCCACGCTCCTGATCTTGGTGGGAAAGCTTCGAGTGTGTCACTACTAAACATGGTGTTCATTGCAGGTTTTTACAGCTATTCTTTAACATGTTGAAGCATGGAGTTGTTAAATTTTGCCATGTGTTTTTTGTACATCTCCTATTTCTGCATCTATCATTGTGAAGAGTGTAAGTTTTCTTCTTGTTGGTGTGGATGGGTCCCATAAACTGATTTTCATATGAGAAATTATCATAAATGTACACCGTGGGGTAAATCTCACTTGACTGTGGTACATAAAATTGTATGTACAAAGCTGAATTCAAGCCACTCTAAAAGTAACATTTTTACTTACTCAGTTTTGGGAGAGAGAGCGCGCCACAGCGCTGGATTCAGGTCGTCAGGCTTAGTGGCACATGCCCTTAGATCACTGAGTCATTTTGCCAGCCCCTTACTTACTCAGTTTTGGGAGAGAGAGCGCGCCACAGCGCTGGATTCAGGTCATCAGGCTTAGTGGCACATGCCCTTAGATCACTGAGTCATTTTGCCAGCCCAAAATAGCTGTATACTGGTATCTTGCTAAACCTGGAGCTGACTAGTTCCTGCTGGTCTAGCTTGCCAGCCTGTCCCAAGAACTCTCCCTCTCTCCCTCTCTCCCTCTCCCTCTCCCTCTCCCTCTCCCTCTCCCTCTTCCCTCCTTCCCTCACTTCTGCCCTCCCTTCCCTGCCCAGACCCATAGCTGCAGCAACTCCACTGTAAGCCCCAGAATTAAGTTTTTTTTTCTTTATCAATTTTCATAAGATACTGATGTGTAGCTTTCTGTCCTTTGATGTTTTGGCCTTAGTATGATTTTGGACTTGCAGAATAGGTTAAAAAGTGCTCTGTTTCTGACTTCTGAAAGTGATGGTAGCGAATTGGTACACTCAAAAAGATAGATTTTTATTATATTTGTGTGTGCAAGTGTGTGTGCTCATGATGGCCAGAAGAGGGCATCAGATTCCCTGGCACAGAGTTACAGGCTACCCAAAATGAGTATTGGGAACTGAACTCAGATCCTCTGGAAGAGTAGCAAGCTCTCAACTACTGAGCCATCTCTCCTGCCTTTTTGAGACAGGCTGGCCCAGAACTCACTATGTAGATCAGACTGGACTTGATCTAACAGACATCTACCTGCCTCTGCCTCCTGGGTGCTGGGATCAAAGGTGTGTACCACCACATACAGCTTAGAATTGGTACATTCTTAAGCATTTGACAGAAGTTTCTTGAGAGCCCATCGATTTAGACGTGATACTTTGTTTTCTTTGGGGGGCAACAGACATCTACCTGCCTCTGCCTCCTGGGTGCTGGGATCAAAGGTGTGTACCACCACATACAGCTTAGAATTGGTACATTCTTAAGCATTTGACAGAAGTTTGAGAGCCCATCGATTTAGACGTGATACTTTGTTTTCTTTGGGGGAGGCTATTGATTATCGATTTAAATTATTTAGCATATGTGTTGGCTTATGTTTCTTCTAATAAGGCATGCAATTTGGCACACTGTACTTCCGAGGACTGGTCCATTCTGTCTAGGTTATCATTTCCTTCATTTGTAAAGGTCAGGGAACTTACTTTAGAATTGGGAGGGCTTGGTTTTTGCTGTTTCAGCTGCCACTCCACTGTCTTCTGGGATGTCCGTTGTCTGAAAGGAAGTCGTTTCCACTCTATGGTTCTCTTTTTGCCTGGCTACCTCCATGGTTTCTCCTCTGCTGTGGCACTTCAGCAATCTGATGGTAATTTACTGGTCTTTGTATTTCTGCACTCAGGCTGCTCCAGGCCTCAGCAGCTCTGTCCTCAGAGAGTCTCCCCATTCTCTTTCTTCGCCCTTTGCCCTCCTCTCTGTGCACTGCATCCCTCCCACCCTCTCCTTCTGGTCTCCAGTTACCCAGCTTCAGTCTGATACTGCCCCAGAGCAGGCCTTCTGTTCCTTCGCCCCCTGCTCGCTCTTCAGTTTCACTGATTCTTTTCTGTTATATCTAATCAAAACTCATCTATCTCTTGTACTTTTTCTTGCATTTTGGTCTATTTATTTATTTAGAGGTAAGATCTCACCGTCTAGCTCTGGCTGCCTGAAACTCATTATACTGTAGATCAGGCTGGCCTCAAACTCAAAACTCACAGAGATCCGCCTGCCTCTGCTTCCTAAGTGCTGGGATTAAAGGTGTGAGCCATCACACCCAGCCTCTGTTTTTTAAAAATAGGATTGGCCATTTCAGATTTTTATTTGTGTGCCACAGTGTGCCTGTGGAGGTCACCATTTCCAGGAACTGGTTCTCCCCTTCCACCTTGTTGAGGCAGGGTCTCTCTTATTTCTTCTGTTCTGTGGCCTGTGAGCTTCTGGGGGGTTCTCCCCTGTCTCCCACCTCACTCAGGAATGCTGGAATTACAGACGTATGCCACTACCTCTGGCTTTCATTTATGTGGGTTCTAGGGGTTGAACTCAGGTAGCCAGGCTTGTGAAACAAGTGCTTTTACCAGCAGAGCAATCTTCCCAGCCCCTGTCGTTCATGCTTTGTTTTTTAGAGCTTCCTGTTCTTGTTGAAATTCTGTTAGACATATCTTCTTGTCAACTAAATTATGTTTAGTGGTTCTTTTATCTTGGCTCATTTGATGGTTCTCACACCTAGTGAATCTGGCTCTGTTAGGTACTTTATCTCTTGGTAAGAAGTCATGTATTTGTGTTTCCCTATTATGGAATGCTAGACCTTGTGTGTAACAGGGCAGTGGAGATGAAGGTAAATGGTGCCTGCTTAGAAAGGGTGTAGCTCTGGCTCTATCCTGGCAGGATAGTGTAGAGTGAGGGCCCTTCTAGTGAGGAGCAGAGCAGTGGGCCACTGCTACCTGTGCTGACTTGAAGCCTGGAGCTCTGGAAGGTCTGAGTCTCTTCTTCAGTTTTCAGAAGATCTGCCAGCTTTCCTCCTGTAAAGGAGGGCCTTCCTCTGCCCCCCTTTCTGTTTCCAGGGTGGGTTACTTGTTACAGGACTGAAGAAAGGCTGGGTATTTGTTGCGGTCTACATCCATGCAAGCCAAGGACTACATGGGGATTTTTCATTTAAAGATTTATTATTGGGGTGTGTGTGTGTGTGTGTGTATCTGTCTGTGTTTATGACTCATGAACGTAAGTGTCCTTGGAAGCCAGAAGAGGGTGTCAGATCCTCTGGAGCTGGAGTTAGGGATGGAGTTAGGGTGCTGCGAACTGAACTCAGGTCCTCTGCAAATCAGCCAGTGCTCTTAATCACTGAGCCATCTCTCTAGCTCTACTACATGGAGATTTTCAGGTTTCTTATTTCAGCCTCACTGTAGATTGGAGCTTGTTGTGAGCTTTCTCAGATACGCTTGGCATATCTTGGTTCTTTTCGACCTCTGTGCACTGGGTACCATGGGACATTGGTGGAAGACCTGTCAAAGCCATTGGCATTTCTCTGTTAAAACTTGAGTGCTCTGCAGAGTGACCTTGTAGTGTGGCTGTGACCCTGTGCCCTGCTTAAAACCCCTCTGGTGCACCCCAGGCTCCCTCAAGTTGTAGGCTGTGAGGTCCAGCACCTCAGCCCCCCACCAGACCTTCCTTCAGTTACTTTTCTTGTCCCTCTCCATTAGCTTGAAGAGTAGATATCGTCTTTTCTTCTGTGTGTTCCTGGAGTGTGTTCTGGGGCTCCCAGCTCAGGGTAGGGGCTCCCAGCTGCCTGGAGTGAGGCGGGCAACAACCCCTATTGGCTGCTGGCTTGGAAAGCTCTCTTTCCCCTGCAGCAGTTAGACTTCCAGCCTCTAAGTTCCTGCCCATGTCACAGGGAAGGTGGTTAGGGATCCCTAAGCCTGTGGAGGGGTCTCTTTTACTCCTGTCCTAACCCCACTTGGTTCTGGGACTGACATCCCAGGATGGAAATCCCTCTGCCCCATCCTGGCCCTCAGGGCAGTGGCTGTGGAGTGTGGCTGTCTTACCCAGGCTGGGCAGGTCCTTCGCTGTGCCAGTGTGGCCAACCCAACTTTGGGCCGCTTGTGTGCCGTGGAGTTCAGAGTCTTAAAGCCATTTTTCTTGTTCTAGGAAAAGCGAGTTGTCACACTTGTCCGTGGATAAGAGAGACTGGGCTGGAAGCATGTGGCGGGTCCTTGGAGGCTGGCAGCCAGGGCATGTGGGCCCACGTGGAGCCCTGGCGTGGGCTGTGCTGGACCAGCTGTGGCCCCGGGGCAGCCGTGCTGTGGCCAGTGCAGGCTCCATGGGCCAGGACCAGGAGTTCAGCTACGTGGTGGTGGGCGCCGGCTCCGCTGGCTGCGTGCTGGCCAATCGGCTAACGGAGGACCGGGATCAGACGGTGCTGCTGCTGGAGGCTGGGCCCAAGGACTTGCTTGTGGGCAGCAAGCGGCTCCTGTGGAAGATCCATATGCCCGCAGCCCTCGTAGCCAATCTGTGTGATGACAAGTACAACTGGTACTACCACACGGAGCCGCAGCCTGGCATGGATGGCCGTGTACTGTTCTGGCCGCGAGGTCGGGTCTGGGGGGGCTCCTCGTCCCTCAACGCCATGGTCTACATCCGCGGACACGCCGAGGACTACAATCGCTGGCACCTCCAAGGAGCGGAGGGTTGGGACTATTCGCACTGCCTGCCCTACTTCCGCAAGGCGCAGAGCCACGAGCTCGGTGCTGACAGGTACCGCGGTGGTGACGGCCCGCTGCACGTGACTCGGGGCAAGACCAACCACCCCTTGCACCAGGCCTTCTTGCAGGCAACACAGCAGGCTGGTTACCCCTTCACTGAAGACATGAACGGCTTCCAGCAGGAGGGCTTCGGCTGGATGGACATGACCATTCACCAAGGTACTTACCCCTTTTTAATTACCCCCTGCAACTGCAGCTGTCTCTCCTGACCCCATGGTGGTCAGTAAGTAGAAGAATGAGACTGGTGTTAGGTGAAAGGGAGTCTCCCCTAGGTGCCCCAGGACAGGAGCAATTATTGAGGGTTGGCTGAGCCTCCAGCACCTATGGAGCCCCAAAGGTGACTGCAGGCTCCATGGGCCAACCAGGTCCCTTAGCGGCTGACCTGGGTCACTGCGAGGGGCAGGAATTTCAGTCCTGTGATGACTCCTGGAACCAACACAGACCAGAGGAGATGGAGGTAAGACCGAGGCTGAGAGAAGGAGGCCCCTCCCCAGGCTTGGGGGAGGTGTTCCCTGGAGAATCAGCAGAGAAACAACTCAGTATAATGTGCCATAGTCTTGGGGAAAATGAATCACAGAGAGGCAGCCTCTACCACTATAAATGGCCACTTCCCTCTCCATTTATAGATGGAGATACTGAGGCACAGAGGGGGTGGTACAGGGCCTTGGTCACAGCAGGACAGAGCTGCCCCAGGGCTTCTGTCTGTCTCTTCAGGGTTCTCAACCTTTCCATCCAATGTTCCTGGTCCAGGTCATCCTGTCAGGGTGGCTTTCTGCCTGTGCCAGGGTCAACCTTTCCATCCAATGTTCCTGGTCCCAGGTCATCCTGTCAGGGTGGCTTTCTGCCTGTGCCAGGGTCCTCAGTAGCCTGGACTGCAGTGGGGGGTGGGGGTGTCCAAGTTGCAGACTTACTTTGAGGTCAGGCCTTGCATAGTCAAGAACAGTATAGATTTGTTTTTGCCCCGTGCTTTCCTCCTGCCCAGGCACAAGGAGAATGGCAGTGACCCACGCCTCCCTTTGCTCCATTCTGTAGGCAAGCGCTGGAGTGCAGCCTGTGCCTACCTGCACCCAGCACTGAGCCGCCCCAACCTCAGGGCTGAGACCCAGACACTTGTGAGCAGAGTGCTGTTTGAGGGCACACGTGCAGTGGGCGTGGAGTACTTCAAGAACGGTCAGAGCCACAAGGTGAGTTGACTGCAGTGGGAGGTCTGGGGGGTGCAGAGGCCCGAAGGACTGGGCAGAGGACCTGGCTATCAGGTTCTCCTCCTCAGCCATGTACTGTTGTCCCTATGCTGGGGGCGGTGGCAATGGATTGTCCCTGGGGCCTCACAGCAAGTAGAGGTGGGAAGTTCCCACCTGCAGACTCTATGGTACCCTGCTATGAGGGTCCCCTTGCACCTCTGCTTGCCACACCCGCCTCAGGGCAGCCGCCTAGTACCTTCTACATGGCTTTAGGGTCTAGCCCATTAGAAATTGATAGATTGATCCTAGAGGTTTTAAAATTCACAAATGTTATCACACTACATGGTGCTTTTTGCCATTCAGTAGTATGTCAGGGATTGCCTCTCCCCAGCCGGCAGTACAGCTGCATAGGCAGTCTGCTCTTGGTGAGCTCAGTTGACCTCTTCCATCCCTGTATTAAGGCCCCTGTTACTGTCTGGCTATCACAGTGTCAGAGCACGGCCTATGCTTGACTTTCACACAAGGTGGTTTCAAGTAGCCGACAAGCAAGCTTGTGGGCCTGGGAGCAGGCTTTCTCCACAGTAGTGTTCCTGTCCCATCACGTGGGTATGGTTTCCCAAGGCCACATTCCCGTAGTGATGGCTGGAACTGGGGCTGGTCCATGGGCCAGAAGAACACCTGGCTCTTGGAGATGTGTGACTGGTGGCCCTTGCCTCTTCTAGGCGTATGCCAGAAGGGAGGTGATCCTGAGTGGGGGTGCCATCAACTCGCCACAGTTGCTCATGCTCTCTGGTGTTGGGAATGCAGATGACCTCAAGAAACTGGGCATCCCTGTCGTGTGCCACCTGCCTGGTAAGCCCCTCCCCCACTGCTGCCTAGGAGCCGGCTCTGTAAAACTAGGTGGCTTATGGTATGGAGTAGAGAGGTCATGCTCCCTGGATGTGTCACATCCTTCCTCTAAACCTGAGAAGGTCCTCCAAGCCTCACTGGACACTCCTACCCACGGATCCTGGGTCTCTGTATTGTTTTCCTTCTCCTTCCCCCAGCCAGCCTCTGCTCCTGCGGGAGAGAACCCTGTAGCAGGAATGGGTCTGGGAACACCACCAGAACAGCTGTGTGGTGAGAGGGGGTCCATCCCCAGGACTGACCAGCTGCTCTGAGCACAAATGAGGCCAGCTCGAGACTCCAGAGCGACTATCTTTGTGAGGGCCTGAACTTTATCTTCTAAAGAGGACTTGGCTGTGTCCTTCCTCATACACTCAGAGGCTAGCCTTTCACGTGGAGTCTTCCTTATGAGAGGCCTGCGAAAATGCTGGTCCGTGTCTTGACTGCCCAGTGTGCCCTTGCGCTTGAGCTATACTGTTCCTATAGCATGCTGGGACTGCTTCCTCCTTCAACAGACTAGGGGAGAGAATGAGGCCAACATTTGTCCATTTGCTCAAATACCACATTGTGGTGCCTGCTGCAAGCTGTTCTGGCCCTGGAGGGTGCTGCTGAGCAGAGCTGGCCAAGGGCACCTGGGTGGCTATTCTGGAGGGAGTAGAGTGACAGGGAGGATGGTTTTGGCAACATCTGAGAGAGCAGAAATGCTGTCTCTGAGAGGTAACTTCTAAGCTGGGGCTGGGACAGGCAGGAATTAACTGTCTAAAATGATAAATGGAGAAAAGTTTCCAAACCAAAATGATAAATGGAGAAAAGTTTCCAAACCAAGGGTTACAGAGAAGCCAGGCAGGAATTAACTGTCTAAAATGATAAATGGAGAAAAGTTTCCAAACCAAGGGTTACAGAGAAGCTGATAAGCCGCTGTGTCAGCTACTCTTCTTAACCATCCCTTCCTGCATCAGGGGTTGGCCAGAACCTGCAAGACCACCTGGAGATCTACATTCAGCAGGCGTGCACACGCCCCATTACCCTCCACTCAGCCCAAAAGCCCCTGAGGAAGGTCAGCATTGGTCTGGAGTGGCTCTGGAGATTCACAGGTGGGTCCACTCCTCAATGAACTTGGTAGATACAGTCTGTGGGTACCGTGGTCGTCTTCCTGAGGAGCTGGGACAGACCTCAGATTGTTGGGTATGAAGCTGGATCATTCCATTCACCTGAGTCCATTCTTCCCATCTGCAACATGAGGATACAAAGGTACTGCATGGCAGGCTGCTGTGAGAGGCCAACAGCACATGTGGAGGGGCACAGTGCCTTGCTTAAGGTGACGTTGTCTGCCGAGCTGGATGTGGGAAGGGCTTATGAGGCAGGCGGCCTTGGCAAATCTGAAGTCCCTCACTTGGCATGTGGGTGATATTTAAAGCTGTAGTGCTGCATAAGGCTGTGTGGAGAAAGAAGACGCAGTGTACAGAGCTTGAAGCCAAGACCTGGGGGAGAAGAGGGACAAAGGGAACAGCTGGTCTCCCATCTGCAACATGAGGATACAAAGGTACTGCATGGCAGGCTGCTGTGAGGGGACGAGAGGCCAACAGCACATGTGGAGGGGCACAGTGCCTTGCTTAAGGTGACGTTGTCTGCCGAGCTGGATGTGGGAAGGGCTTATGAGGCAGGCGGCCTTGGCAAATCTGAAGTCCCTCACTTGGCATGTGGGTGATATTTAAAGCTGTAGTGCTGCGTAAGGCTGTGTGGAGAAAGAAGACGCAGTGTACAGAGCTTGAAGCCAAGACTTGGGGGAGAAGAGGGACAAAGGGAACAGCTGGTTCACCTGCCACACTGCTCTGTCCTCTTCTGACCTTCAGGGGATGGAGCCACAGCCCATCTGGAAACTGGTGGGTTCATCCGCAGTCATCCTGGTGTCCCCCACCCAGACATCCAGTTTCACTTCCTGCCATCACAAGTGATTGACCATGGGCGGAAACCCACCCAGCAAGAAGCTTACCAGGTAAGCAGATGGACTGGACCAGATTCTGCCCCGCTCTCATCTTTTAGGGGTGTCATCTGTCCCACTATGCAAGCCTTCAGTACCTGCTTTCCAGTGGCTCAGTGTCTGAGTGGGAGTGGAAAGGAGAGCCTGAGCCTTGCCCCAGGGAGGGACCCCAGGAATTAGCCCGTGGGTGTGTGGAAGGGTAGGACCTGTACCAGTGATGAGCAGGCAAAGCTAGCTCAGCCCTGGGATCACCTTCTGGAACTTTGGACAGTGGCATAAAGGCCAGGCAGGGGAAGAAGTGACTGGTAGAGGGTCAGATGCTAAGCCCTGCATCCTTTAAATTGGAAGCTGAAGCCCAATCTGGGGCTTCTCCAAGCTCCTGAGTTGGAGCTGATAGAGATTACTGTGGACTGTTTTCTCTGGGCCCTCCTAGGTGCATGTGGGGACCATGAGGGGCACAAGTGTGGGCTGGCTCAAACTGAGAAGTGCCAACCCTCAGGACCACCCTGTGATCCATCCCAACTACTTGTCAACAGGTAACTCAGCAGCCAGCTCCATAGCTCCTGGACCTCGGGTTGAGTGGAGGAACGGGGTTCCTGTTGTTCCTAAATCTTGCCCTGAGTCTTATTTCCTAACACCTAGATTACCCTCAGTCTTGGGTCATACAAGGTAGGCTGTGGCCTCACTTTGCACAGCAGGACAGAGTGCAGCTCTCAGAGCCATCTACCTGTCTGGCCTCCCCTGCTTTTACCTTCCACAGGCCCTAAGAGCATGCCGCCTTCCCAAGCTGCCCTATTGTATTCAGTACAAACAAGAACGTCTCATGAGGCAGGTTTTGCCCTCATGGTATGGGAGCACTTGTATGGTGGCAGAGGCAGATTATATATCCTTACCGCTGGTTCACAGAGAAACCAGACCTCAAATACCTGGCCCTCTTGGCTCAGTTCTTTTAGGATGCTTGGTTACCAGTTAATTGCTTCTGGGCAGGTGACAAGCACCTACCTTGCTTGGTTCTTCATGTCCCTGAACTTTGTCCCTCAGTTGCTCTGAGCCAGGAGGGTAAATGAAGGGGGATTCATCTATCTCTCCTCCACAGAAACTGATATTGAGGACTTCCGCCAGTGTGTGAAGCTGAGCAGAGAAATTTTTGCACAGGAAGCCTGGGCTCCCTTCCGGGGCAAAGAGCTACTGCCAGGAAGCCACGTCCAGTCAGATAAAGAGATAGATGCCTTTGTGCGGGCGAAAGCTGATAGTGCTTACCACCCCTCGTGCACCTGTAAGATGGGCCAGCCCTCTGATCCCACTGCTGTGGTAGACCCTCAAACCAGGGTCCTTGGGGTGGAAAACCTCAGGGTTGTTGATGCTTCCATCATGCCCAGCGTGGTCAGCGGCAACCTGAATGCCCCCACAATCATGATCGCAGAGAAAGCAGCTGACATTATCAAGGGGCAGCCTGTACTCTGGGACAAGGATGTTCCTGTCTACAAGCCCCGGACTCTGGCCACCCAGCGTTAAGGCAGCCCCTGCCCGAGGATGACAGAGGAGCCCATGTAAAGCCCAGAGGACCAACGAACACAGCCTGTGCCCCAGGTGCTATTTCCTAAAACTGTCGAGAACCTTGGAACTCAGGTATCCCTACTTACGGCTGAGACCTTTGTGAGATCTTATAGGAAATAAGGCCATATAAGTCAACAAGTCAAGTCCCCAGCATTTCCCTGTGGACCCTCTGGGGAAGGCTGGCAGGCTGGTGCTCTCCTCCTTACCTCCTCTAGCCATGACCTTGTCTCACGTCACCTACCTTCTCCAGCCCAGTGTCCTGCTGCCAATACGGCTGAGACCTTTGTGAGATCTTATAGGAAATAAGGCCATATAAGTCAATAAGTCAAGTCCCCAGCATTTCCCTGTGGACCCTCTGGGGAAGGCTGGCATGCAGGCTGGTGCTCTCCTTACCTCCTCTAGCCATGATCTTGTCTCACGTCACCTACCTTCTCCAGCCCAGTGTCCTGCTGCCAGTAGTGGACTGGTCCTTTCCTGGACTCCCTTGTAAGGCCATTTCTGCAGGGTGCTCAGCCTGCACTGGACTCTTCAAGGAAGCTTTAGCTGAAGAGTCAGGCAGGAGGGCGCTCAGCCTTGTTCCCACGAAATACAGAGCTAGCCCCACATACCAGGTCACCACTTCATGTAGAGGAGATGAGCCATGAAGACCTATCATGGTGACCTTGGGAAGTAGCCTAGTAGACAGGGCTGGTGAATTCTTATTTAGATATTCATGGGGACAGCATGGCACTGAGGCTGACAGGACACAGCAAAGTACAATGGAGCCAAGATGTGAGTCTTCTAGGGGGTGGGGGAGACAGCTACCAGCAGCATTTCCAAGAGCTCTGTGGTCTGTATCTCCTTATAATGTAGATGTAATCCAGTAATTTATTTTTGAACCGAGATGCCTTATCCTATTTTTACAAGGGAATGAAAACTAAATGCATTTTGGATTGGTTTTTCTGAAGCTGTCCAAAGCCCCCATCTAAAGCAGAGAAGAAAAGAATCACTATATAGAATCCTGCAACACTGGGCCCAGAATGGAGGGGGAATGCGGGGATTCTAGGGTCCACTGGGATTGATTTGGAGCGGGGTGAGCTGGCCTTTGAGCCCAGACAACTTTTCCTTATATGGCTATGAGTTTCCAGAGGTGACAGGTGAATGTTACATGCCCCAAATGCATAGAAGGCAAGTGGAAAGCTGCCGTTGGGGTTCAGACCCAGGACAGAACATGTGACAAGGCTTCCTCGAGGGAGCCCTGATGGCCAAGCATGGCTGTTCCTGGCTCTAACCCAAGTATAAAGGATGAATAGGTGGGTCCTTCCCACAATGCCAAATCCAAGTGCTAGGGTTGTGTTGAAGTCCCAGTGCCATGAGGGAGGTGGAATGGGAGAATGGTGCGCACCTGCTTTGGTTACAAAGTGGGGTGCACACAGGCCCTGTTAGTCTGAGTCTCATGGGTAAGTGGACAGACTTTGTTAGCTAAGCCTCTTGGCAAAAGCCTGTAAATACCTGAAACACAGAAGACTGCACTTTGCCAAAACAGTGTAACATATTGGTGCACACACACTTACCTAGCAAGCCTATGGTTCAGGGTTGACCCCCTCCCCAGCACCAAGAGAGACAACTGTGCACATGCCCAGAGCCCAGCTGTGATGACAAAGCCCACCTACCTTGCTGTTGATCATAGGTGTTCCTGACAGGATAGCGAAGAGATCATGGAAGGGACAGGAACAACTGCCAGTATGACCAGGAATACAGAAGCAGGTGGAGGCACCCTAACTTAGCCTTTCTACCTCCAGCACAGGCTGTAGGAATAATTTCCATAAATTCAAATAGAGTCTTCTCACCAATCAGACCATGTCCATCAGGCCCCAGGTTTTTTTCATATTTCCACTGATAAACTACCATGATACCAAATCTAATGCAAAGATTATTTTTCCTCTCAAAATTAGGAAAAAAACACAGCACCCCCCCTGCCCCCCAAGCAAACCCAAACCCCACAACCACCACATGCCTTACTCTTGTTCTCATCTTAGGAACCCAAGCCCGAGCCCAGCCCTTATTCTCCCTTGCCCTTCCAGTCCCCAGAAAGCAGAGCTGGAGTGGGTTTTTGAGTTGGTGTGTGCCAGTAAGGGAGGAGGGGATTTGTACATGTCAGCTCTGTGGTACCCCACTTTTATAAGATCAGCAGCCCATCCCCCCAATAAAGGCAAAGATGGTAAATAAACACTTTACACCATGAAATAAAATTGCTCTGACTTAAGAGCCAGGTAGGTACTGTGAAGGGGGAGTGTGTCAGGCTGCCCCTCCTGGCCTTCAGTGGATTTTACACATAAGAGCTGGAAAGTGGGGTCCACATACCAAGCACAGACATTCTAAATGAAGTGCTCACTATGGATTAGTGGTGAAATCATAGTGATTTCCACCTCATGTCATCAGAAACATATTAAAGAAACAAACTAAATGCAGTGTTCTGATGAATGCAAAATCATTTGGGAGTAGGGTGGGCCAGGGAAGGGAAACCAAAAAGCAGGTTTCATTTTTAGAACTTTCATAAAGGGGAGGGAAAAAACCATGCTCTACAACTTCAATTTTTTTCTTACAAAGAGAAATTTAATATGAGACAAGAGGTTGAACCAGGCTTTAGGGAGACATACTGGGAAGTGGTGCAGCCTGAAAAACTCACCAGTGTTGACTGACGTTGGGAAAGAGAATCGCCATTCCAGAACACGCAGTCCTGGAAAGGGAAGGGTGGCCTGCTAAGCCGGAGTCAGGCGACACCCAGCGAGACAGAGTCCAAGGTAATGTTGATGGTGGTTTAGCCCTTTAGGAGAAGCAGTGCTCTTGGCAGCTGCTATCAAGTTACTGTTGACCTCTCTGAGGAGGCTGAGGGCGGAAGAAGCTGCCTGAGCCCAGGGCTGCCAGAGCACCTGCCCCTCTGAAGCTCTCCAGGAAGAGCCAGCTCTGTGTGAGGAGAGCTCCAAGATACGATGAAATTATTACACAGTTTATTCTGAAGAACATTTTACATTTTAATAAAAAAAGTCTTTATGTCAGGAAATAGTCATTTACAAACCTTGAAATGTTTTTGCCTGCATCTGGAGTAAGAATGTCTTACCAAGAGGTTTGTGAGGTCTTTATAACAAAAGTATTATTTACAAAAAAAAAAAAAAGAAAAAAAAATTCACAGGTTGTTGTGTACTAGTTAAAAATTTTGAACCCAAATTGCTACCTGTATTTTTGATTGCAGAGACTCCCTGGCAGAGCAATGGGATGAACAGCACATCTTTCTGTTAACAGAAAAGCAAGCCTTGACAATTCTAATGGTCCCCCAGCTGTCAGTCCCAGGGTGTGCAGCCCCAATGCATGTGTTCGCATGAAGCTTCAGCCCTCATTCAGTTGCATGTAACAGCCCTCCAAGAGAACACATCGCATAGCAGCGTTGTGAAAGGCAACAGGATACTGGATGGACCCTGACACTCTAACCTCATAGGTCACCACAGTGCCCCCCCTCCACCCAGATCCCCTGCCCCAGTACCTCTTATTTCTTAAGCATCCCTGAGGAGTGGGAGTGGATGCACTTCATTCACCTGTGCCGTGACTTCTGTGTTAGAGATACAGAAACAGCTTGCACGGGCAGCTGAGGAAGTCAGACCAGCGGATGCCATGGGGCTGACTAGCCAGTTGCACCTGTTCTGTAACTAACTGACCAGAGGATAATCAAAGTCAAAGCAAACCAAAGACAGTCACAACTCATGTGGATAAGAGGTACAATATGAAACTCGAAGAACTCTTGCCCAAAGAAAAGACTGCAAATAGTCATCTTGCCATCTTATGTAAAGATAGGTTTATAGTGACTCAAAATATTTTAGAAAAATTTCTGACGTGTCAAATTGTTTTGAACTCAAAAGTTTATCCCCAAAAGATTTTCACTGAATTAAGTGAGAATGGGTTCTAATCCTTCTAGTTCTGTTTAGCCCGAGTAAAAATACTAACTTCTAGATTTTGGTGGGAAACTACAATTGTTAGGACCCATGGATATTGCTGCAGTTCAAATACGGTACAATAATTACAAAATATAGACCATCTCTTTACAAATACAAATTGTATATTACAAGTCATGTACAGTAAATCTATAATTTTTAAACAAACTAGTGTATCTAAGTTTACCTGGTTTGCAAGTGCGTTACTCTTCCAGTTTACAGTTGCCCTTAGTGTGATAGTCAGAACTGACTACCGAGTGATGGTCTCTTATGTAAACTGGCATCGCATTAACAGAAAACCTTGTCTGTCCAGTCCTGCCCCCCTCGCCGTGACCGCTGGTGGCTGGTGGCTGGGTTCTGATGCATACCATTCAGAACAGCTGCACAGGAACCAGGAAGCAGTATGTTTGGGGGAGGGGTTTAAAAATGGATATGCTGGGCCCAGTGAGCAATATGCTAGACCAGTGGCTGAGGTAATGACATAGGTGTGGTGATTGTCATCACCTTTAACCTGCCTGCCATGCCTTCAGGTGAGTGGGCAGGGGCGTGTGCCCTGGGGGTGAGACTTGGACTCCTGGCAACTCATCTGGCTTCCAAACCGGCCAGGCTGCCTGAGCCTTATCCATCTTCTCGAGGGGCCAGACATGCCGTTTTCTGTGACTGGGCCTGACCACATGCTCAGAACCTGTTCCTACCAGGTTTATGGCTTCCTTGAGGCGTGATACCACTTGTACAAAAGTATAATTGAGCATTTTCTCCCAACTAGTGCCTAAACTTTCCTTACTATGAGGCACTTTATCCCTGGCCCTCCTGTGCCCCTCTCAGGCTGGAGTCAGCCTATCCTCACTGGGCTACAAGGTTGTGATGCAGATCATTTCGTCTGCCAGGTCCTCCTCCTCTCGCCCGGGGTCTGGCTCCTCGTCGCTGTAGCCAGGACCAAAGTCCTGTAGCTCGTAGTCCTGCCGGTGTGAGATGGGACCTACGTCCCCATTGGCTCGTGGACACACACTACCATTGAGCAGAGTGCTGGCTGCACTCTCCATCTCGTCTATGGTTAGGTCACAGGCATCGGCGATTTCGTGTTTTGTTGCTGACACAAATTTTGGGTCCCTTGCGTAGCGTCCTAAGCCTTCGGATATCAAGACCTGTATAGGAAAGAGGATTGATAGCCTGAGCAAAAAGGCTGTCACTGTATCACTTTGGCTCTCACTGAATCGATGTGCTTTGGGGACCCTGCCCAACCCTGTTTGCTAGACCTCACACATGGTACTAGTCATCATGACTTCCACTTTGCCAACGCCACAGAGCTGGAAAGCTCCACATGGCTGGACAAGAGTGAAACACCAGCGACACGTGGCACAGGCTAGTAATATGAACAGGACAGGACATTGAGACAATGCAGCTCTTCGATTTGACGCTCAGCAGATGTAGCTAGTTTTCCCTCGGGCATTAAGTACCGTGTGTGCTGCTGAGAAGCCCACCCCAGGTGGCCTGGCTGCAGAGCCCACTGTGTCACCACTGCCCTCTGCCCATGTGAGGCCGCATCTCCTGGTTCTGCTGCGGTTATGGAGCTTGTTCAGTGGCCATGAGCCACCATACTTACTGCCTCTACCAGGCTGTCTGCACTCCTTTGCTTGTCGCTGTTTTTGTTCCGGAAGCTACTGGGAACAGTCAGGCTGGCTGGTGTGAAAGTCCTATAGGAGATATCGGGCTCATCTGTGTACCAGGAACTGCGGTGCAGGGATGGCAGGCTGCCATTGACCTGGTCCAGGGACTCTGAGCGTTCCACCTGGATCAGGGGGGTGTAGCATGGGGTCCAGTCCCTGTATGGAGGGGTCGCCGGAGGCGTGGCCCATGACCGGGTGGAGTGGCTTGGTGAGTACTTCTGGGCTTTACTGGAATCGAGGCCTGCGACAGCCATGATCTGAGGAGATGGGAAGAAAGGAGAGGGAGGTCCTCAGAGGTCTGGCCTCAGCACAGTCCTGGTGTGTGGCTGTGGTGTGGTGCAGGGCTGGCTCCCAGAAGACTGGGAAAGGATTCAGGCATACTGGAGACATCTCGGTGAGCTGACAGGGGAGCTGGGGTCTCCAAGCATACTGCGTTTCCTTTTCCCCAAAGCCACAAGGCATTTCCAGTGAATGAGTTGTCAATTACTAATTCATGAAGTTGCTTCTGAATGAGGAATAATCAAGAAGGGGAACCCAAGCTCAGGTCCCTCGGGTTTAAGGATTGAAATGCATTTCGGGGAATGCCAGGGACTCTGGCTTATGCAGGACCACAGTCAGGTTTCTCTGCTCCAGTGCCTCTCATCCAGCAACCAGCACTCTGTCCTGAAGTACTGGGCCGGCCATGCTTCTCACACGTCCACCACTGCAGAGCCACCTTGAGATGTATACCCTGATGTGTTTGCATCCACATCACAGGTCTACAGCCAAACAGGAGTGGCCAAAACAAGACCTGGGCCTGGACCTGATGGGGCACAGGCTTGCTTGAGTTACGGTATTTGGTGGCCTGGGCTTTCAAAAGGTTTGTCTTCTCTCGTGATGACACAGACGTTTAAATTAGCATTAACAGTGCAGGCAGGAGTGACTAGAAAATCTGCAATGGCCACTGAGTGCTCATGTGCTTAGAATCCTGGGGTCAAAACACCACATAGACTTGGCTCTGCCAGCTGGCTGCCTGGGTGTGAGGTTCTGGCATTTCGCTACACAGCATCTCTGATTTTTTTTTTTTTTTTTTTTTTTTTTTTGTCTTTTTGAGAGAGGGTAATCCCTGTAGCCCCAGCTGGCCTGGAACTCCCTACATAGACCAAGATAGCCTCAAATTCACAGAGCTCTGCCTTTCTGCCTCCTGAATGCTGGGATTAAAGACGTGTGCCACCACACCCAGCATATCTTTGGTATTTTAAGAAACAAATATTTTAAATCTATTTTTGTTTTTAAGCCCCTGGTGAGTGGGCCCTGGATCGTGGGCTGCTTCTAGCCCAGCTGCCTTCCCTGTGTGCTAGTGGCTCCCCTGGCCTACAGAAGCAGCTCAGTCACCCTTGTGATTAGAGGGCCCACCCACAAGGAGCTGCAGGAACAGCTTAGTGAAGAAGCACCTCCCTCTCTTGAGGCAGCTACTACTGGGACTCTGGGTGGTGGCTGTGTCTCCCTAATTCAGACTGCTGCAGGCCCTTTCTTCTGTGACAGGAGGGGTGAGATGAAAGGGGTTTTCATGCCTGGTCCACCCTGCCTATGGAGCTCCCACAGAGAGGGCCCCAGAGGATCTACTTGGAAGACTGCCTGGGGGAACGAGATGGGAAGGTGCAGGCTCAGACTTCAAGTGCATCCAGGAGGAGCATGCACCCCAGGTGGGGGCCAGGAGAGTGGCTCACCTGCTGTTGCATCAGGTGCAGAGGCAGGGCAGCACGGTGGGGCAGTGCAGGCGATGGCAGGACCTCTTCCTGGCTGCTCTGCCGGCGCAGACACTCGAAGTTGAAGGAGGATCTCCGATGGGCTGAGAAGTGAAAGCACAGGACACGGTGATATGGGTCCTGTCTGGGTTCCCAGGGAGTTCAAGAAGAAGCAGGCAGTGTGTTTGATCCAAGGGACTTCTATAATCCCTGAACTTGGGGGCTGTGAGGACTAAGGGCAGTCACCCAGCTGGGGAATGTCTCTATAAGGTACCACTATATTACTTTAAAGTGTTTGCTTGTTTTCAGGCAGCCTGGACATCACCTCTGCTGAGTTGGAAGCCCTGAGATGTATTCCACTGATAGCTTACAGGAGCAATTCTAGAATGTCACACTTCCTGCTTTCCAAACATCGCATGTTTCTAGGCTCCTCAGATTTATCTTTCTTTTTACTTAATTATCTTTGTGAGAATTTTATACAATGTATTTTGATCATATTCACCCCTGATTCTTCCCTTAACTTCTCTTAGATCTACCCCTACCACCCCACCTGCCAACTTCATGTCTTTTTTTTTTTTTTTAAATAACCCATTGCCTACCCCAATCAGCATAACCAGGAACTAAGCAAACTTGTGGCTATGAAAAAAAATCACCTTCCCTGGCTGGCCCAGAAACAAATACATCAAAGAACTTGCCATCTGCTGAAAGCCTTTGCAGACAGAGGCTCGCTCATGACCCAGAGCTTTCAGTTTTAAAGCTTGCTAGGCTCGGATCTGCCTGGGGCCCTTTGGCAGCACCACAGGCCTTCTCCTAGGAGCCCCTCCACCCTCTGTCATGGGCTTCAGGGAGCCCTACCTTTGCTTGGCAAGGTAGTAGCTGTATTCCAATTGCTCCTGCCTCACCCTCTGCTTTCTAAGCTCACAGAGCATCTCCTGGCCTGGCAACCAGCAAAACTCCATATGCCCCTAGTTCCTGCCCTGGGAATCCTCAGGTACTGAATCAAAGAGGCCTTCCAGACACCTGGGACTGCACACAAATCTCTACAAACAGAGCTGCAAACATGAGCCGGCTGGGCCCTCGGCTGGTCACAACCAGTGGAGAGGCAGCAGAGCCAGTACTGGTCTGGGGCCCTGTACCCACTGATGGGCATACTGAGGCCTCCTAGCTGAATTGCTGGTGTGGAGCAGAGACATCTGCCTCCAGAGAAAGCCACCCCTCACATACCACCCACTGTGGCCATACAAGATGGGCCTCCTAGTCAGCACAACCTCTGGAACCCAAGACCTGGACAGGCTAGAGATTCAGAACTAGAAGAAAAACAGTCAATCCCTCTCAAGCCCCCAGGTCTCCTCATTCAGTGGGCTCTTTTTAACAGTCTCTGGAAGATGTAGCTCTTCCCTCCACCCTCAGTGTGGCTGAGAATGTGGGCCAGTATAGTTAGCTGTTTTCCCTGCCCAGGCTGTGTGCTGGACAACAAAGCCAATTCCCTTCCAGATAAAAGCAGCCCGACCACCCATGCTGCTCCAATGTGGGGCTAGGTGGGTTCTGGAGACAGGACACTCAAGTATCCACTGGGGTTTCCGGGTGGGGAGTAAGTAAGCAAAGGCAGAGGCCTGAGGAAGGCAGTGGGATTCATAAGGGCAGTGGGCCTCTGCCTGGCCTCACCTACACCTGTTTCATCTAGTATTTATGGGGAATGGAAGGCTTTATTCAGCAGTATATGTTGGGGCTGAATAATTAAATATTAACCATGCAAATGAGTCTGATTACATTCCCAGCAGGCTGTGACAGCTGGAGTGGGACATGGCCAACCTTGTCCTTACTGTGCTGGCAGTCAGTAGATTCAGGAGCCCTAGAATTTCAGCTGTTTTGGGTTACTAAACAGAATCCTCAAAATTAAGCCTCATTATTATATATATAATATATATATATAATATATATATATATTTTTTTTTTTAACCATCATCAACATACCCACACTTGGGGTTGGAGAGATGGCTCAGCAGTTAAGAACACTGGCTACTCTTGCAGAAAACCCAGGTTCAGTTCCCAGAACCCACATGGTGGCTGACAACCATCTATAACTTCAATTCCAGGGGATCTAATGCCCTCTTCTGACCTCTGAGGGCATTGCACAACATGAGTGCACTTATATACCTGCAGACAATATATTCATATGCATAAAATAAATAAAAAACCACCCACACTTGGCAGAATTCAACTGCTTCTCCAGGAGCTGGCAGGTCCCCCAGAAAAAAACCTGGGTGCTACTCAGAGGCAAGAGTTTGCAAGACAGTCCTGGGCAAGTGAGCTGTGCATTTGAATTTATCCTTCCCCTCAGCAGCTCAGTTTC